TTTTCAGTGTTTTTCCTCTTCTCATATAGTACTCCCCTTTCTTCTTCTATTTCAACAGTATTATTATTATTCTTTGCAATTTTAGTGTTAATTTCTTTATCTTCATTAGCTTTCATTGAAAAATTTGTTAGACATTTTTATTCATACCTTTTTTGTTGTTTTCTCCTTTACTTGTTTTATACCGTTAGTAATTCAATTAAATTTTTTAGTTGTAATCTTTTTGTTTTTACTTATATCTCAGTTGTTTCTAATCTATTTTGAAGGTTCGCATTTCTTAATTTTATAAGATTTTTAATGGCATCTTTCTTGTACAAGCTTAAAGAACCATTCAAATTTCTTTTCGTAATATTTCTTCTGGTTATATTTGTTGTATGTTCGTTTCTGATGCAAGTTATATGTAATGGGATAATGCATGTGGCCTGAGGAGTAACTCCTTGAGAATCGATACACTTCTAGCTTTAGCTGACTCGAACAAATTTACCTTCTAAACCGCCCCATTAGCAAATAGGTTTCCGGTCCTATTGTGTATTAATTTCCTTAGTAGAAATTAAGTGTATTGGAGCTCTTAAGCAAATCAGATGACTGACGTCCCAGCAACCCGCAAACGGTATATTAATAAATTCAACCTTGGTTGCGATGGGTTGGGCTGGATATCTTAAGTTTCCCCTAAGTAATTTGTGGAATTATAACGAAGTTAGAGGAAGTAGAAAGCCTCTCGACGTTGAAGAGGTTGTAAAATGTATATCAACTGAAAAACTATAATTCTGGAGAACGGTCATAACGTCATTAATTTGAAATAGTTTCTGAACCTTATAAAAAATATTATGAGGCTAGAATTATGAAGATTCTTCAGAAATATCCCATTTTTTTCGGAAAATGAGATTCTAGTTAGTTGTTAGCTCGTTGTGAAATGTTTAATGAATCCTTGATATACTTCAATGAATTAATTTTTGAGTATCGAGAGGGAACACTGAGATGTCCTTTGAATATATCTTCAGCATCTTTTTCTCTTCAGCATCTAGTGCTCTGTTCTTCGAAATCCTTGACTATAATGAGTTAACTTTGAGTTTTCATTTGAATTGTTTGGTTTTCACCTGAAGTATTAATTGTTATACTCATTATATTATCGGAATATTTAGTCTAGTTCTTTTTATAGATTTTTTATTCGACGTACTGTTGTGAAATTTGATAGCAGTTCATTTCTCAATTTCTCTTTATAATTTGGTATCCTGAAGCTGCAGTTAAACGTAAGTCCTGAGCGGACATTAGTTTTCAAAATTTTTCATCACCCATAATTTTCCTTCAGTATTATAACCAGCAAATTTAGAAACACACATGAACGTTTAGTTTTTTTTTGGCAGACCACCTCTATAACTTCAGGAAGAGTAAATACCCAATATTAACATGAATAAGAATGTGTGTTCATCCGATTTTTGTTTCTGTCTATCGTTATTCACTTCAAATGCCTAATGATATAACCAATCATCATGAAATTTCACTGGTACCTCGTCAAGAAAAAGAAGCGAAAACATTGGGTACTTATTTCCACAAAAAGTCTTAAATACTTTAAAGGTATATGAAAATAACTAATAATCGCCAGTCCGACATGGGATCAAAATGGCGCAGGAGCCGTGACATCAGATTTGATAGCATGTAACATTTAAATACAACGAGGTCTTTATTCATTGATATAAAGTACTCTTTGGAGTTCATGTAGGCATTCCATAAATGGACGTTATCGAATTTCTTCACGAAATATCATTGAAATACTTTGAAATTTTTCATTATCCCCAATTTGAAATACATAAACTATCATACGAATAAGTTTGCTCCCATGGTGGTATAATAATCACCAGGTGTCAGCATCTTATATCAACGCTAAGTCTAAGAAATGTCGAATTAATATGAACCTTGAAAACGCTAGATGGGATTTTTAATAAATATTTGCAATTGTAGTCGCTTTTGCAGTTTTTGTCGTTGTTGATGTTGTGGTGAAAGATAAGAAAAAAATGAGATGTTAATTTGGAGATTTTTGTTCGACTATGAAAAAAATTCAAAAGATTTAAGGCGTTTCGGTTTTTCATTTGATAAGAAAATATGAAGTTTCCGAAATTGAAAGAACGTTTTGTGGTAAACGGCTAGAGAAGAACCTGGTCTGCTAGAATATGCTCAAAAAAAACTCGAAAATTTCGCACTTTTGAACAAATTCAGGCTTGGTTGAGAAAAATTTAGCAATTTTTTCAAGGAGATATTCAACTCAATTCATTATAAGAAATTCGAAATTGAAATTGAGTGTGATTGGATGAATTGACTCGAGAAATTCTTCTATTTATGCGAAATTGAAACTTTCGCGAAGAATATTCCCAAGGTTTAACATCTTCAGAATTAATGGCTGAACAACTGATTGTTCACTTTCTTCATTTATATCTGGAATATTTGACACCAAATCTTACCCGACATACTTCTATTCTGCTAATACATTGTTAGAAGCTTTGAAACTGTTTCTGACAATTTGAATCCTTCTTGATTTGATCAAAAAGTGTTTTCCAATTTTAATATTATGCTTTGAGATTCGACATCATCAGATTGTAATTTGCGACCTTTATAATAATAAAAAAGGTTCTAAAAAATCTATTAGAATTATTTTTTCAGTATTATGATAGGAATTGTTTTTCTCCAACACTGGAAGATTACATAAACCGTTAATATGAAACATAGCGAAAATTAAACAAAAATGAAATTTTTCAATAAAATCTCAAGAAAATTGAGTAATAATTTGGATTTCGGGAAATTTATATTATCAACAGTAAAACTACGAATTCTGAAGAAACGAAGTAGATAGTTAGGACTCTGAAGTTCCTCGAGCAAGAAGAACAAAAAAAGATCAAAAATAAACTCTCTCAACGAATTAGCGAATCATGAAATATTTGTATCTCCATCCAATCTCCTGCACTTTCCATCCCTAGAAAATAATTTAACCGTAACAAGTACAAGAACAAGGCAGGACATATGCATCGTAAGATTCACTGTATAAACTGTATTTAAATTCCAAAAGATCGTCTTGTTCATTACTCGCTGCTAGTTCATATTGTGGCTTCTTGAAAACTTAACGCTCCGAAAGACATAAGCAATTACGTGCATAATTTTATGGCCCTGAAAGTGGGGAACTTATGTTTGCTCGGCTAACTTGAGACCTCGTTTCAGGAACGGAGAGTCGGCTAATTTAACAACCGCTCGCAAATTGAGCAGTCTCAGTACTTCGATTTGTTTCACAACTCCACGGTTGTGGTTTCTTCGTTACCTAGTAGAGTTGCAGAAAACTGATGCAATTATTGTGATTTGGTGGGGCATTATTCCACTTGCAGTTCTAAGGGGACTTGCAGTAAACACTTTGTTACGCAAAAAGTAAAGCTTAATCAGCACACGAAATTCACTTTTTTCCATTTTCGTAAAAATTCACGAGTTTGTCTGCTTTGAATGGCTATCAAACAACAACTGCATAACGTAGTTGCTCAAAATTTGACAGTTACCCACTAATAGATAACAGTTGACGGCAGCACTGTTGCATTTGGAATAACTGCGCGGGAAATTCAAAAAGTCACTGACTTATCAAACTGCCCTTATTACAAGTGGTCTTATGAACGCCGCATCTATATCCCACATACAAAGTATCCCACACTTCAGGTCCGTATATTTCCTGATTTTTTTTTAATGGTGTTCATCAAGTTGTGAGTGTTAGGTACCGAAATGTCTATCAAATGGGCTTTCTTGTTCATTTTGTGCAAAAGAACTAAGTCTGATCTATTATTATGTATCGTGCAGTCTGTAAAAATAGTTCGATCCTAATATATTTTGTAATTACTCTTCTATAGCACCGGCTGTGGTTTGTATTTGTAGTAAGGTGTTATATCTTTTGTCAGCAGTCTGGTCTTCTCAGATAAGGCTTGATGGACTACTATTATTTCAATTATTATTATACTTAACTTCTAGGTAAAATTTTTGCATAATTTGTATGTTAATTTATTTTTCAATGTTATGAAATATTCATATAATTAAATTTCACTCTTGAGTCAGAAAGATATTGTAGAAAATGATACCTGCCTAAATGAAAGCACTACCTGACTTGCAAAAATGCCATAAGTTCCTTGATCTTTCAACTTTATCGTATATTATTATAGAAATATGAATATAATTTTCATAACATCGTCACTCTGGGTGTATACTTTATCGATTAAAATCCAACTTGTGCTGGGAAATTGTCCGGTGGAGTACCATAATTAAAGATACACTGCCGAGTCATTCCCAATTAGTCTAAATTACTCAAAGAAACTCCAGCTAGCCGGCGTCCTCGTCGCCGCAGTGGTCAAACGGCTGCGTCCGGCGACACATGCAGCAGCTAACGGCAAGTGTGCGGCAATATTAATGTCTTGGAGTACCGCGTTCTTACCACCCTCTGACCAGCTTATAGATCATCCGTTTCGCCTCCCCCTAAATCTATCCTCTCTTAACTCAGTGCTGCCACCCGATTTTATTGCTTAACCAAATATAAATTAAATTAACTACTGCTTCAGTAAGCAATTAAGAATTAAAGGGAGTTTAGAGCGGCGGGCATAAAAAGCGATTTGGGTGACTTTTATTTTGAACGTTACGGCCGAACGGGACGCGTAAATCTTCAATAATTTTCTGCGGTGACGACGTTGCAGGATAACGCTTTTGTTCGGTGGATTTTCTAGTCTTTTGTTTCTTTACGGTGTCGACATGTTTTCGAATATTGGGGAAGGAGTCTGCCAGTGTTTATTGGGGATGAAAGTTTGAAGGATTGTGTTTTCGCGAAAATTATGACCCATTTGTTCCGATAAATATATCTGTTTGAGGAATGATAAACTTGTGTTATTGAGCATCACTCAAAATTTTTTTAGTTATCATTATCATTATTCTAAAAGCAGAGGTCAGAGACCTATATAGCTCCTTTGGACCTGCATTTTAACGCCGATTCCGAATGGTCCAATATTACGGGGGAATCGAACCCACCACCAGTACGTCAAGAGCGTATAGGGCTACTATTCCGCCAAGTCACTGAACCTTCATTACCTAGTAACCCTTGATTAGAAAATCTATATGCTCATGTATTTTAAGAACTGAAGGATGCTTTCTATAGAGACAGAGAATTTTGAATTGATACTACTTTTTCTGTGGCTCCTCATTTGACAGGTAGCATAAACATTTGACAGGAATCCATAGCTTGGTTTATTTTGGGAACTTTACTGAGACAATTATTTCAGAAAACTCCAATTCTTTCATCGAAGAGGTGAAGTCATGTATCCTTTTCGTTATATTTCAAACTTAACGATAAATCGCAAAAAAAGGTGATGCAGTGCGCAATCAATCATCTGTTGATGATTTTGGATGATTATCCAAATCTGTGAATTTTTTGCCATGTCCAAGAACTAAACGAGTGTTCGTCCAATGTATACAAAATTGTTCCCAAAAGTATTGGTTTACCTCATCAAAAATAGGACTTGTACAAGAATTGAATATAATGATAAAATATGGTGTGCCGCAGGGGACGACATTAGGTCCCATACTATTTTAATGGAATATAATATTATCATCGATAACTTTATGTAATGTTAGCTAGAGTTCTTAAATTCTTCAGTGTTAACAAGCGCTATATGGACTTAGTTTCCAAGGTTCTTTTTTTAAATTTATTTACATTATAATTTCAATCTGATCAGGATCTATGTGACAGGTTCTAGATAAATAACACTTTGTTGATATTAATAACACTTTCCTCTCATTTTGCAAAGTCACTTGAACTAACTTGAAAAGTTTGGTCTTCTTGAGTTTTCTGACTGGCATCGTATTGTCGAGAAGTCGGATGGTCTCAACATTCACTTAATGGAGTAGTCCCTGTTCATGACTCTTAGCAAATCTTTCGATGACTTGATCAGCAGTTTCGATTTTCTTGTGTCTATGGACGTCACTTCTTTTCTTAAGTACCAAGGGGCGTTGACAACAAATAGCATTGCACTTTATCATTGCAATAGCTTTCAGCATTTTAATTTAATTTAACATAGTCTTTTGGTCAATGAAAATTGGTCTTTTTGGCAGAGCGCCACACTTTTCTTCCATTTGTCAGTATTGTTTGAGAATCTGTTTAACTGCAAGAATTTGTTGTACGTTGACAGGGTTTTACCTAATAGTCACTACATTTTCTTATACTTCTTTGAGAGTCTAGTTCCTTCCTTTACAGTCTTCTGAAATTTTTCTGTTATATTTTCTTAATATGACATCTTCAGAAATAATTAATGGATTTTCCCAAATATTCCGAGATGCTCAAAACGGTTATGTTGTCTGAATTTCTTGAAAATGAGTAGTTTCTCGGCGAACTGAGTTGTGGACCGAAATGGGGTTTCAGTTCTCTACTCAATTATCAAGAATTTTTCCATTGAAAATTTCGTCTATAGGTTTGCAGCCAGACACAAACTTGAAGTAAACTGATACTTCTTGCCAGCATTTTCCAAAAATTTCAATTTACACTATACTACTATCAAATAAATCAATTCAAAGGACTAACTTATGTTATTGAATCATAAACTCCAACTAGCTATCGATGTATAATCATAGTTTATATCTGAAAACTACCTAGCCATTATTTTCCACTTCAATTTTACAATATTCGATTTGAGAGTAAAATATTGAAAACTAGTACTTTTTATTTAGTTGACATACATTGAGAACTATTCAAGAAAAACATTTGATCGCTATATGAAACCATAAGTATTCATTGCAAAAAAACCCAACTGCTTTTTATAAGTTTGATAAGTTTTTCATCAATATTAATATCTGAATGCGAAAATAAGAACTAAAAAAATCTTCAGAGCCAGAGCTTTGTGATGGCTTGATCTTATGATAGTACTTTTTGTCTTAGTATAGCTTTTTATAATATTTACTTAAACTCATAAAAGTGAGTCTACTTAAAAAATTCAGAAATGAAATATAAAAATTTTTCCAATAAAGAAAAAGGTTCTAAACGCTCCTAATGACTAAAATGCCAGTAGATATTGTATCGTAAATTATTGGATCTTATTTTACATATTTTATGGGCAGCATTTTGTAATAAGATATGCGAGTCAAAATCGATTAAATCAAACATGATAGTGGAAAAATTACTTATCAATTATTCAAATGAAGATTGATGGTTTTGTATCCACGTACACGAGATATTGATATTAGAGAATAAAAAATGGCGATGATATTGGTAGGACATCCCTTGAGAATTTCATTCGGAAATACATTGAAAAATTGATGAGGGGTCAGTGGCGGTCAGACTACAACTTCAATAATAAAATCCTGCATCAATTCGAGCAGTTCAACTATGAATTCTTCCATATTAAACCAGGGTCAATTGATTTCTGAAACTTCTGAAAATTATAGCAGAAAAAACCTGTTGAAAGATTATTCTAGAGCAGGGGTTTCAAAACTGTGTTTTGCAGTGTCCTTGCGCGACGTAGAAAGTGGGAAAGGGCGCCGTAAGTCGATCCTCTTTCATTATCAGAAACCATAAGTTAATGTGATATAGGCATATGTCTTTTCTTCGATATCAACAATATTTTGAGCTCCAGCATCCGTACCTTCACGTTGAGTAGTCGTCGCAATATGTGTTTCTACGTATTTGAATCCCTTTTGATACCCTACTGACTCTTATTCGTGAAAATAAGAAGTATGCTATATGGTCCAATTGCATCAACCATTGGAAAGCTCTTGCATCAAAGTCAATGAGCTCTGAACTGAACCAAGTACTAAAATGTATCATCGGTGCAGAAAATTATATAAATTTACTCCGCTAAAGGTTAGAATTTTCCAGGAACTCATCTCCTTTAGCTCGTTTATCATATGGGAGCTCAACATACGGACCCGCTGAATACTAAAACGCCAATTAATTACTGAACCAGGTTTTTAGTGAAAGTATATAAGCATATTTGAGCGATATAAAGGGTGTTTTTTTAGAGGTATAGAACTTTAAGTTGGCATTACTGTTGAAGATGGCGACCGATTTAACAGCTGAGAAGTGATTTATTCTCAGTTTGGTTTTGCAATTCAATACGAATAGACTCACGCCTGAACAACGCTTGCAAATAGTGTAATTTTATTTCGAAAATAATGGTTCTGTGCGGAATACATATCGCACACTACGTCCATTTTATCGTCGACGAAATCGTCCATCAGAGTAGTTAATTCGATTAACCATGGAACGTTTTCACACCACGTTTACTCTTATTGATTACTCGCATCCCCAGAGACAACGTACCTGTGCGTACAAAGAAGCTATTGGTACTGTAGAGCGTAGCACTAAGGAAGACCCGGATGAGTCCATCCGCCATCGAGCACATGAATTGGATCTGTGTCCATCCACTTTATGGAAGATTTTGTGGAAGGATCTTGGTTTGTGTGATTACAAAATCCAACTCGTGCAAGAATTAAAGCCAAACAATCATCAAGCAAGGCGTAGATTCGTCGAATGGGCCCAAAACGAAATTGACGTTGTTCCCGATTTTCATAAGCGAATTTTGTTTAGCGATGAAGCGCACTTCTGGTTGAATGGCTACGTCAACAAACAAAATTGCCGCATTTGAAGTGAAGATAATTCTCAAGTGTATGTCAAAACACCGTTACATCCAGAAAAACTGACTGTTTGGTGCGCTTTATGGGCTGGTGTAATCATTGGTCCGTACTTCTTCAAAAACGATGATGGCCAGAACGTTACAGTCAATGGTGATCAGTATAGAGCCATGATTACGAACTTTTTCATTCCTGAATTGAACAACCATGATGTCCAGGAGCTGTGGTTTCAACAAGACGGTGCAACATGTCACACAGCTCGAGCCACAATCGATTTATTGAAAGACACGTTCGATGACGGCCTAATTTCACGTTTTGGACCTGTGAATTGGCCTCCAAGATCTTGTGATTTAACACCGCTAGACTACTTTCTGTGGGGCTATGTAAAGTTATTGGTCTATGCGGATAAGCCACAAACGCTTGACCATTTGGAAGACAATAGTCGCCGTGCTATTGCCGATATACGGCCACAATTGTTGGAAAAAGTCATCGAAAATTGGACGTCCAGATTGGACTACATCCGAGCCAGCCGTGGCGGTCATATGCCAGAAATCATATTTGAAATGTAATGCCACAAGATTATCTTTCGAATAAAAAAAAATTCTTGTCAATTGAATGATCCATCGTTGTTTCATTTCAATTCAAAGTTCTATACCTCTAAAAAAAACACCCTTGACATTATCCACAACGTTTGAAAGGTTCTATTGAAATTTGTTCTGCACAGGTGATTTTTTGCAGTATACCTGAGTATGTTATGTCACCAGAAATTCATGAGATACAGTTTTCTATGTGGAAATCTCTGATATGAGGTAATTACGAGTCTTAGTGAGAATAAAACCAATAATTCATATTCTTGTCAACATAAATATGCATTGCGACATTCAGCACACTGAAAAAAGCAACAACTGTATTTTAGTTTTTGTTTTTCCGTAATTTGCCAGCACCCTATACGTAAAATAAGCGCATGCAGGAAATATAAAAACACACATTTTATATTTAATTAAACCTTGTGCAACATTAGCAGTTGGCCTTTACTTGGGGAATATTACGCGGTTACGTTTCCTACCTGCTTCTGCTACTTCCACTTATAAATGTCCCCACATGTTACACTATAGTTTCGCAATTATCTCAGACCCGTCGGAATATATACGACTTAACGTTCGGGGTCCACTTTTGAGGACCACCCCAACCAGCGCGCGACAGTCCCAGCAGTTGGTCCAATGCATAAATTGCAGTTGTGGCAGTGTTTATAAAAAATGGAGACACGTTAAAAACACTCGTATATCGACAATATCCCTCTATTTATCAATTTATGTTTAAAACCTAAATTACCTCGTTTCGGACTTTTGTTCATCATCAGTGAATTCTTTACACAACATCAGTTGTGTAATTGCTCGAGGAAATTTCCGTGTGATTTCCTTATTTTCAAAATTAACCGATTTCTTTTGAAAAGCATTTATT